ACAAAACAAGATAATAGAAATTCAATAATGGTTGTTATATTGCATGTTGTTGTCACCAAAGTAGTTGCTCAGAATACCAGATATAAGCATGCAAAATAACCAGGAAAAGAAGGACTGGGAATACACTCAGTGACAAAAGCACTTGCCCAGCAAGCACAAGGTCCTGAATTTGAATTCCCCATACAAAAAATAAAACCAAAACAATGCTCAAAAATTAAGTGTTGACTATTCCATACAGAAAGCAGAAAGCAGCAGTATAATTTTCCCAGATACCCCAGGCATATATGCATGTATTTTTTTCTTCCTTCTTTCCTTCCTCCTTTCCTTCATCTCAGTTGTTCCTTCCCTTTGAGCAATTTCTCTCTCTCCCACAATATCCATTGTACCTTTTGGATTTTATTTACTCTTTCAAGTTCTTATACCTGGGAGAAAATATGATGTTTAAACATGCAGGTCTTATTTATTTCACTTCTAAGTATGGTCCCTAGTTGCATCTATTTACCTATAAAAGCTTCAAGTTTGTCTTTCTATAAGCTGAGTAAAACTTCAATATATAAAAATACCACCTCTGCTTTATCCATTCCTCAGTTGATGGGCAGTTGGATTGTTCCCAAGACTTAGCGATGACAGCTCTCCCAAGTCACTCCATCTGGTTCGGGCAGCCTCTCACCAGACTCTAGCTTTGGAATCTTCAAATGATACAACTACTAACATTTTGCTGAGAGAGGTATTTTATAATTAGATTGTGAACTTCCCAAGGGCAGAGAATATCTTTTCTCTGTCTATTCTTTTCTTCATTAGCAGCACCTAGAACAAAACAGACATCAAATCATTCATGTTCTAAAACTGATATAAAATAAATAATGTCCTATGCATCGTAACAGAAATTCCATTCATGGCTAATATTTTAAAGCACCATAAAAGGGCTCAGATTTCCAAGCTGTTGCTGATATAATTAGATTGCTCTTTTCCTGAATGTCATTCGTGGTGGCTGCTTTTTTCTTCCATACCTTACAATCACATTTTCACTGTGTCTTATGTCAGAGGATTACTTGTGCTCATTCCTCTTTGATGGTAACAAGAAGAAAGTGACTGTTCAACTCCGAGCACACGCTGAAAACCAGCAGGGGAGATGGAGACTTCGTGCAAATGCTTCTGTTAAGAGAAGTTACAAGATGCTCCCTAATGATGTGTCATGACAGGTTGGGTTAAAATAGGGTTAAAAAAAGAGCTTAGCACTAATTACAGACCAGTGCAACTTCTCTGAATAGATGCCTTACTTATCAAAGTAAGATACAATTCCTCTTCCTACCACTAATGGCTTTGGGCACTGGAGCCAACAAATATCAAATTGTTGTTTTCCAGAGCATGGAAATCCATGGCATGAATTCCAGCTCAGCTTGTAGATAATTTATCACTAACAATACTGTCACAGATAATTGGTCAAGTGTACAACATGAGATCAATA